TCGCATTGACAAAAGTCTCCATTTTTTTGACTACTGCGCCGTTAATCCGCGGGTGTTTTGACGCAGAAGCCACATTGCATTGCATTCGTCATTGGTGGCTTTTCCCCCCACGTACGTGGTCCCCCCCCCCCTTTTTTTTTCCAAGAAAAAAAAAACACAAAAAAAACTAGAATACATAAAGAGTTTGGAATCGCGCCATCTCCTAAATTGCTTTCAAGGTAACCCATAACGTTGGTTTGCCACTTTTAAAGTGGCCAGTGTACCGTCGTACACCGTCGTTGGGCACGTAAGGGGTTTTTTTGGGTTTTTTTTGGAATAGGTGTGCCACCAAGAAGAGCAGCTCGAAGGAATTAAAATGTCTTAGTGCACACTGTACACACGTAATTATCAATTGTGTTCTTAATGCACACTCTACACACGTCATTACCAATTATGTTCTTAATGCACACTGTACGCACGTCATTACCAATTGTGTTCTTAATGCACACTGTACACACGTCATTACCAATTGTGTTCTTAATGCACACTGTACACACGCCATTACCAATTGTGTTCTTAAGGCGCACTGTGCACACGGCATTACCTTGCGGTTTTAAATAAAACATATCCGTAACAAGTAACTTTCAATTGAAGTTCTGAGCAACCCTGCTGTCTGACAACACGTCGCGGTGTTCACTTTGTTCGATCAGTTGTTTTTTTGTTTTTGTTTTTTCTGTTCCGTGGTCTATAATTTATAGAGACGTGCCATTGGGACGTTAGGATGATGGAATATCAACAGAACTGTGGAGTGGTTAACAGTTTTTTTTTTTTTTTTTTGGGGGAATGGCTAAATATTTTTTTGTTGAGTGGACTGGTTAACTGTTTTATTGTGGACCGGTTAACTGCTTTATTGTGGACGGGTTACAGCTTTATTTTTTTTTTTTTTTTTGGTGGAATGGCTAAATATTTTTTTGTTGAGTGGACTGGTTAACTGTTTTATTGTGGACCGGTTAACTGCTTTATTGTGGACGGGTTACAGCTTTATTGTGGACGGGTTAACTGCTTTATTGTGGACCGGTTAACTGTTTTATTGTGGACCGGTTAACTGTTTTATTGTGGACTGGTTAACTGTTTTATTGTGGACTGGTTAACTGTTTTATTGTGGACTGGTTAACTGTTTTATTGTGGACCGGTTAACTGTTTTATTGTGGAATGGTTAACTGTTTTATTGTGACCGGTTAACTGTGTTATTGTTGACCGGTTAACTGTTTTATTGTGGACTGGTTAACTGTTTTATTGTGGACCGGTTAACTGTTTTAAAATGAGAGCTACGTAATATTTCTCTTTCGTTTGCATACTTTAATCCCGCACCCCTTAGCTACGCCAATGATTCTACATGATTTTTTTTTTGTAGAAGTTAACAACCTTACAGAAACCACCATAGTAAAGATCAGAGATACAGCACAAGTCAAACAAATAGAAGACACATAGACAAGGCACCCCAAGAAACTTTAGCCAGTGCTTGTCACACTGAAGAGACACTTCAATTCTTCCCAGCATAGGTCAATACGCAGCTAGTTCAGTGTCTAAGAGAAACAGGATGTACTACCACAGTAGTAGACAAGAAACTGATTGACGAATAACACTAAAAAAACATAGATTTTATTAACTATGATAGATATGCCTTCAAGGTGGCCAGAGGCAATCCCTCTTAAAACAATCACTTCCGAAGCGGTATGCATGGCATTGTTAGAAGTATTCTCATGATACGCATTTCCTGATAAAATCATGTCGGATAATGGAGCTCAGTTACCATGAAATTTAACAAATGCAGTCACAAAACTACTAAATATTATACAAATACATTCCACTATAATATACCGACCACAAGCTAATGGCATGTCAGAGCGGTGGAATAAAGCCTGAAAACTATGCTGGCAAAGGTCACAAAGAATGCCATCTCTATGTACCAATGATTCTATTTGCTGACAAAGAAAGTATTCAGGACACTACTGGCTATTCCCCCTTGTGAACTGATGTTTGGAGCCAACGTTAGAGAACCATTAACATTATTTTTAAAAATCTTTTTAGGACAGAAAATGGGAGAACAAATTGTATTTGATTTCATAACAAAAATAAGAGAAAGATTAGTTTATGGAATAAAAGCAGCAAAAGAAAACACAGAGAGAGAAGCCAGAAGATACATTAAAAAGTCAAACAGATATTTGAGAAATCTGATAATTAATCATCAAGTCTTTGTATGGCTACCCAATAAAAAAGGACAACAAGTCTGGCAAGGCCCATTTACTATACAAGACAAAATTAATTTAGTGGATTATGTCATCAAGATAAAAGGAGAATTAAAAGTACTAACTGTAGACTTGATTAGGAAATTCGACACTTATCCAGAAGACCCGAGTGACATTGCAAAAGACATCTCCAACAAAGAAACCATTGCAACAGTCATAAAATTACAAGAAAGTCAAAAAAAACATAAAGATTATTAGACAAGTAACCACAATAATCAAGGAATACAAGGATGTTGTCACAGAAAACATTGGCCACACCAACACCCTGGTGCACAAAATCATGTTAACAAAGGAGCCTACATTTAAGTATTGTAAGGAATTTAGCCTTATCTCAACTCGTTTCTCAATCTACTTTCTGAGGATGGTAACCTCTTTCACTCTGTCTGTCTTACTGCAACACACATTGACTGTTAGACATCACTTTATTGGCTCTGATCGACAATCAAGACTTTGCAATTCTGCTCTGACTGTCTCCTCATGTCTATCCTGGCCACTAGACTGTCCGGCCCGCCCAAAGTCCAACTAACACTCTCCGGCTTCGCTCACTTGGCGTACTCCGCTTCGCTCGGCTTGTCTCTGCTTTACTCTCCTTAGCTCATGGTTCTCCCTTCCTCAAATCTAACCGTCCCCTCTTATAGGTCCACTAGCCGACCGAGGTGTCTCTAGAGATGACTTCCCCGTGCTATTCTAAAGTCTAATTATCTTAGCGCCACCGTCACGCTCGTGCTTGGTGGTCAGTCTTGGTACCGTTTGTTTTCCCTCCCACACCTGCCTGATTACCTCCCCTGCCGTCTAAAGACTTGATTTATACTAATTTCCTGTCAAACGCGTGCTTTCTGGGTCTGTGGCTTCTACTAAAATCTTCTGCGCGTGTGATTCGCCAGTTTTTGACCGTGGGTTTTCCCCGCACCGTCGACATCCCTTGTATTCCACTTCTTAATTTATCTGCTACGCGTCTAAATTAGCCAAACACCTGGACCGAGACTGAACTCTCTACAATATTTTCTAAACAGGTTTATATAATAATACATACCAGTAATAACTATTTTCTAAAAAGTTTATTAAATAATAAAATATCAATAAGTATTTTATAAAAAATGTATATTATAATACAAAATCAATAAATATTTTCTACAAAGTTTATACAATAATGCAATATCAATAAATATTTTCCAAAAAGATTGTATTACAATACAATATTAATAAATATTTTCTAAAAACTATCTATATTAGAACAATATCAATTTCCTATAACTATTTTCTAAAACGTCAATATAATATTTTATAATTGAACCAAACAGGACATGTAAAGTCTGTGTCAGTATGATTACCCCCCCCCCCACGATAGTAGCCGAAGTGAACAAGGGCAGGCGTACGCTTAGCTGGACGCTTAGAGAGAATGCAAAGAGACAGAGGAGTGAAGAGGTTGCACCAGCAAAAAACGCTAGAGGAAAACTACTCAAATGCAGACCTAGGCTTAGATGGATGGACGATGTTGGAAAAGATCTACATCGGCTGTTAATCCAAGGATGAAGAAGAAAAGCAATAGTTAGGAGTGTGTGGAAGGAAGAGGTTAGGCAGGCCAAAGCCCCCACACGGGCTGTTGCGCCACAGAGATGGTGAGATGTATGTGTGGGTAAATTATAATTGTAGCACGCCTTTTTTTGTTGAATTTAATTTATATTTATATTAAAATACATTTAAAAATATTTCCTAAAATCCTATATAATTTATTTGTTCAAAATATTTTCTAATGAATCTATAAAATAACATCCATTATTTTTTTTTCTCTAAAAAGTGTATATAATACTTTATAATTTACATACATTTTTGTTTAAAGTGTGTATAATAATTAGTTTTTTTAAAATTATTTCTCTAATAAAGTTTATATAATAAATCATTAATTAAAACACTTTCAAATAATTCTACATACAATTTTTTATTTCTATCCTCGGGGATCTATCTACCTCACACTGACCCAAGCGACGTTAACAACAAAAAAAATGAGTAATACAGTTATAAATATGAAAAAAATGAAATAAACGTCTGTAGATTTGGCCGTTTTAAGAAATATACGTTTAAACATGACTGAAACAAGTCTACTGTTTACTACAATATGTAGCAATAAATATGTTGCTAGTAGGTAGAACCCCAGCAATCAGCACAATCAGTGCAATCATTAAAATCAGTGCATTAAGTGCAATCTGTGGAATTAGTACAATCGGTTCCATCAGTAGACGCCAATAATATATTTGGCTACGGTGATTTGATCTTTGTAAAATGTTTGAACTTTCTATCTTATTTCTAGAACGTTCGATATTTCGATTTTTAAAAAAAAAATTACATAAATATCATTTTTTTTGTTTCGCTAAGTCTGTGTGAATTTACGCAAATATTTTTGAAGTTTCAAATGAGTATAGTATAGGAGGTTCCAAAATGATTTTCCTCATTAATAGCCAAATAAGCTTGGGTTACAATTCAAGCTTCTACGTACATTAATGGATCGTTTGACGTTTTTCGAACGATGTTAGTGGTACAATTTAAAAAAAAAATGAAGTCTGTTCGTTCTCTAACCTAAAATATTCGTTGCTGTAAAATATTAAAGATTAAATTCTTATGGGACCCGGAGATATGGGACCCGGATCCCCCCGCCCCCCCACCCCCACCCCCCCCCCATAGAAAGCATTCAAATGAAACATCATTGTAAACTTCTTCGGATTTTAAGGGGATAAATGTGTACTATTAACTTCATTTTTCTGAGTGGTTTTTGTAAAGACTCGGTGTCAGGGATAATCCAAAATGGCCTCTTTTTGGAATGGAAATTTAAAAAAAAAATTAATTGCGCAAGAGGTAATAGACATCTGTGAATAACTCTTTTTAAAAAGACATCCTTTAAAACGTTACATTTGTCTGTAAATCTTTTCTTTCCCCCTCTTTTCTTTTCCTCTTCCCCCCATTTAATCTCTCATGTAATTATTTTCTGTGACAATTCTTGTGCTGCCCTCACGGATACTACTTCTCAGCTAAGTGCTATTTTGAACATTTTATTCTGTTTCTCCTGCCTGTTCGTTCGCTGACGAAGGCTTCCTGCCGACACGTTCGTTATTCTGTTGCTTTGACGTTACATTCTTTTACGCCTTTCCCATTTAGCAAATGTCACATCACTTAGAAGATGCCACATACCACATACGAAACTCCACATAAACACACCACATTGAACACACCACACAAGAGCTGACCATATTAAGACAAATGTATTCTGTTAAAGAGAGCTGCTTATGACACACCTATAAATATACGAAGTCATACTTGCATTTTGTAACATGCATCCTTTGAAACGTATATAACCCAAGGAAAACCTTATCGTTTTGGGCAATTCGACAAAAGCTGACGGTCGAGCTCGACCGCGCACAGCATTCAGTATGACGCACTGACGTGGACACATAACCAAATAACACATTTAAAAAGAAAACCTATAAATATTTGATTAAAAAAATGTATATCAGCATATTTTATGCACAAATTATAATTATACACAATTATATGTAATGGAAAAGAACAGTGTGTGCAATATATATGCAATGGACCGAAATCATTAATTGTTTTTAAAAAAATAATAGATCTGAATCCTTTCACCAATTAAATAATAAATACTTTTGAGGTATGTTTGATATTTTGTTCGCTGAGGTCGGTCAGTCTCCGACAGCTATCCATCGTGGTGGATAATAGTCTGATAAGTTAACGTCCGACCTCATGCGAGATCCATTGCTGAAATACCCGTCGTAGTAAATGGAAATACCATCAGCCAGCCAGGCCGCCCACCAGCCGTAGGTTCCGCTGGATAATATCACGTGATCACAATTGGCTAGGACACCAAAGTGCAGCTCGGCTGAACCGGGCTCCAGTATTTTGACGTCTGTAAAATTTAAATTTTCGTGACACCATTCGAGGTCATCGCTTGCCGTCAAGAATGTGACCTTCCTACCTTTCAGCATTGACCTCATTCTGTGAAATGCGTTTATGAAATACGACACCTTCGGGACGCCAAATCCAAGTTTTTTATTAAAGTCTATTAGGAAATCACCCCGTCTGACGTGTACTCCCACGATAACATGACCTTTGAACTCTGCTCTGACCTTGCCCAACGTCTCATTGATCTGTCTCTGTAGAGGCGCGCAGAAGGTGAACTCTCGCCTAACCTCGTCCTCGATGTTCTCGAAATAGCGAAAGACTTCCCGTGGCCCGTGCAATGTTATGTTTTCCCTTGGCAGATTCCACAGACTGGGGTACACGACGCCAAAAGTTGTGTGCCTCATCAGGCGGAATCTGTGGGATAGTGGTCAAGAATGTATTACATTGGAGAGCAGCGGAGGATGACGGTGAAAATCAGAATTTTAATTTATTTTTATTCTTTAAGTCCTTCTTTTTTTACACGCATTTCAAACTTGTCGGTTTGTCTGTTGGTATGTTTCTTTGTCTGTTTGTATGTTTGGTTGTTTGTCTGTTCATCATATTTTTTTATTGCTTAAACACGGGACTATTTTTTGTTCATTTAATCGTCTCACCACATCTGAGTAGTGTAAACTGACTAGCACACATATTCCTGGGAAGATCTGAGAAAGTCTGCCAATAGGGCCATTCTCGGTACGCATTTGCATCGACTATTCTGCTAAGTCTTTATTAGCGTATTGAAATTTTAAAAAAAAAAAATTATTTTTAAATGATAAGTTATGATATAGATTAAGAGCGTGGATAAGATATCGACACATTTATGTTTTCTTCAGGCTGATTCATCAGATGTATCGGATTTATGGTACACCGTGATGTTCAAATAAAAAAAAATATATTCTCAAAATTCTTAAACGTTTTAAAGACTTAATAAAAAATGACTCGATTATAATGGTTGTAATGTAGTCAGTTCAGAATTTTTAAAAGAAAAATTAATGTCGAACCGTCAATAAACACAAAAGAGTGACAGTAAATTTACTGTGTTAAAATACCATGACTCTCTCACCTTAATAATGAAAAAGGTGTTATTTTTATACTGAGTTCTCTTATATGCCATAAACAGTTTATGATAAGATAATGTATTTACTAAATACTGTTAGTACAAATAGATTCCACAAGACTGATAGTGTTACCTTGTATGCAATAACTCTCTAACTGAAGAAGATTAAACTCCAATCACAGATTGCGTTGAACGAATTCATCTTTACCGAACGATTATGAAAATCTCATTTACTACTAATTTCATTTTTGTTGAAGGCGAGAAAAGTAAAAAGCCATTCTCACCCTTCTGCGCTGATGCTGTCATCGACATGGGAGATCTGGAAAACGTTGTCCAGGTACGTCCCTGAAGGTATGAATGGGGTTCTGTTCTGCGCCCTGGCTAGTCCAAGCAATGACGCGTAAATAAACAAATGGTTGCCTAGGCGACTCTGAAAGATCGTCGTCAAGTAGAAAGGCCCTGTATTGGCCTGTGATTCATCGATGCTGTTTAAGCTAGTGAAAGCATGTTTGAAAATATTTAAAAACATTTTTTTTTTAAAGTCTCAGAAATTATGCAGCCAATTAAACAATAAGTATTGCTTATCGCATGATTAGCCGCCATTCCCTGTCAAAGGAATTGAGTTTTTTTGTTTTCTTTTTAATTTCCTTTTGAAGTTGTTTAAACTCACGACATATGTGTAGAGCATAGGGGTGCAATTACATAACAGAAAACAAACGGATAAAACCGTCGAGGCCCAAGATCAACATTTTGAACGGAATACGCTAACCCCCGTCTTTGACTTACGTGGTCAGGGCAGACATGTAGAGTACTATTAAACATGCGACCGCTCCCGTCATCTTGAGCAGTCCCGATCTTAACCGCCAGGCAAGACATTCCCTGAGGCTTGACCTACAACACGAGAAAGGACATCTTAGACGAGTCAAGCTCATGGGTTGTGGTGAGACGAAAACTGGTCTATTTTTTATGGGGAAAATGACTAATATTTGTATAATATATTGTTTTAAGTAAGATCAGACGTAAATTTTCTCAGTTCACACGATCACTTTTTCGGTCCGACATGTGATGCGTTTCTTTGTTTGTTTGAAGCCTTGTTTGAAGCTTTCAAATTACAATTCCATCAAATTTATTTTTTTTGTCCACTCCACCCCCTCCCAAAAAAACAACAAAAACCAACAACATACAAACAAACAAACCAAGAAACCAAGCACAAGATAGTGCGGTCATACAACAAACAAACCAACAAACCAAGAAACAAAGCACAAGATAGTGCGGTCATACAACAAACAAACCAACAAACCAAGAAACCAAGCACAAGATAGTGCGGTCATACAACAAACAAACCAACAAACCAAGAAACCAAGCACAAGATAGTGCGGTCATACAACAAACAAACCAACAAACCAAGAAACCAAGCACAAGATAGTGCGGTCATACAACAAACAAACCAACAAACCAAGAAATCAAGCACAAGATAGTGCGGTCATACAACAAACAAACCAACAAACCAAGAAACCAAGCACAAGATAGTGCGGTCATACAACAAACAAACAAACAAACCAAGAAACCAAGCACAAGATAGTGCGGTCATACAACAAACAAACCAACAAACCAAGAAACCAAGCACAAGATAGTGCGGTCATACAACAAAAAAAACAACAAACCAAGAAACCAAGCACAAGATAGTGTGGTCATACAACAAACAAACCAACAAACCAAGAAACCAAGAAACCAAGCACAAGATAGTGCGGTCATACAACAAACAAACCAACAAACCAAGAAACCAAGCACAAGATAGTGCGGTCATACAACAACAAAAACAATTGACGCAAATTCGATCTGGTGAGCTAAGCATTCGTTAATTGAAAGCCTTCGTGAGATCGTCGTATTGAAAGCCTTCCAGAGATTCGTCGTATTGAAAGCATTCGTGAGATTCGTCGTATTGAAAGCATTCGTGAGATTCGTCGTATTGAAAGCATTAGTGAGATTCGTCGTATTGAAAGCATTCGTGAGATTCGTCGTATTGAAAGCATTCGTGAGATTCGTCGTATTGAAAGCCTTCGTGAGATTCGTCGTATTGAAAGCCTTCATGAGATTCGTCGTATTGAAAGCCTTCATGAGATTCGTCGTATTGAAAGCGTGAGATTCGTCGTATTGAAAGCATTCATGAGATTCGTCGTATTGAAAGCATTCGTGAGATTCGTCGTATTGAAAGCATTCGTGAGATTCGTCGTATTGAAAGCATTCGTGAGATTCGTCGTATTGAAAGCATTCGTGAGATTCGTCGTATTGAAAGCATTCGTGAGATTCGTCGTATTGAAAGCATTCGTGAGATTCGTCGTATTGAAAGCATTCGTGAGATTCGTCGTATTGAAAGCATTCGTGAGATTCGTCGTATTGAAAGCATTCGTGAGATTCGTCGTATTGAAAGCATTCGTGAGATTCGTCGTATTGAAAGCATTCGTGAGATTCGTCGTATTGAAAGCATTCGTGAGATTCGTCGTATTGAAAGCATTCGTGAGATTCGTCGNCGTCGTATTGAAAGCAGACGCTTATAAGTTCAAGATACGTTTGTGCAAAAGTTTTTAAAAAGAAATGAAATTTTAAAAAACATTTTTAAACGGCGAAAATTTATAAAACATAAATTTAAAAAGAAACATATATATATATATATATATATACATATATATATATATATATATATATATAATTTAAAAAAGGCAAGGAATCGAAGAAAATGTTCAAAGTTTTAGTGTGAAGATGTACGACAGAGTTACGGTTGTTTGCGCTTCGTTTGGCTTTTCTGACTTTAAAACCAGGTTGTCTTACCGGAAGTTAATCCGGACTTGTTACAAGCAATGTTACTTTTATGCGCTGATTTGATTTTTTTTTCGCTTCATTTGCTTGTCTCCCTTACATTGCTTTCCTCCATTACGTTGTTCATCTCCCCTACATTGTTTATATGGCCCCCCTCCCATAGATTTTTACTTTTGCATTGTTCATCTCCAAGTCCTTGATCATCTCCACTACATCGTTCATCGGTCATGGCCAATACGTTGTTCATCTAAACTACTTTGTTAATCTCCACTACATTGTTCATCGACAATACATTAGTCATCTGCACTATATTTGTTCATCTCAACTATATTGTTCATCTTCACTATATTGTTCATCTTCAGCATATTGTTCGTCTCAACTATATTGTTCGTCTCCCCTATACTGTTCATCTCCACTATATTGTTCATCTTCACTATTTTGTTCATCTCCACTATATTGTTCATCTTCACTATATTGTTCATCTTCACTATATTGTTCATATTCACTATATTGTTCATCTCAACTATATTGTTCATCTTCACTATATTGTTCATCTTCACTATATTGTTCATCTCAACAATATTGTTCATCTCCACTTTATTGTTCATCTTCACTATATTGTTCATCTTCACTATATTGTTCGTCTCCCCTATAGTGTTCGTCTCCACTATATTGTTCATCTTCACTATATTGTTCATCTTCACTATATTTTTCATCTTCACTATATTGTTCATCCCCACTATATTGTTCATCTCCACTATATTTTTCATCTCCACTATATTGTTCATCTCCACTATATTGTTCATCTTCACTATTTTGTTCATCTCCACTATATTTTTCATCTTCACTATATTGTTCATCTTCACTTTATTGTTCATCTTCACTATATTGTTCATCTTCACTATATTGTTCGTCTCCCCTATAGTGTTCGTCTCCACTATATTGTTCATCTTCACTATATTGTTCATCTTCACTATATTGTTCATCTTCACTATATTGTTCATCTTCACTATATTGTTCATCTCCATTATATTGATCATCTCAACTGTTTTGTTTATCCCCACTATATTGTTCATCTCCACTAAATAGATCATCTCCACTATTTGTGCATCTCCACAATATTGTTCATCTCCACTATATTGATCACCTCCACTATTTTGTTCATCTCCACTATATTGTTCATCTCCACTATATTGTTCATCTCAACTATATTGTTCATCCCCACTTCATTGTTTATCTCCTAAACCTAGTTTATTTCCACTACATTTCTCACAGCCCCTACATTGTTCATCTCCTATACTGTGTACATCTCCACTATATTGTTCATCTCCACAAAATTGTTCATTTCCAATACTATGTTTAGCTCCACTAAAGTTTTCATTCCCACAAATTGATGGACTGTGAAAACGATCTTGCCTAACTGACGTGAACATTTTGGAGTTAACAAAATGTGTTCCTCACACCTTTGTCACACTTAGGTCAGAAAACCCGGTCACTAGCCAACCCCAAGAATTAACTACCAGCAAGTGAAGAAGATTTAATGGTGCCCGTTCCGAAATTAACGTCTTTCCAATAATGAATTATCAGAAGATGAACTTTTAAAAGAAAAAAAAAATATACGCGACTAAGAAGACATATAAGGCAGCAAATGTTGAATATCACACATTCATGGACAGGTAAGTATTTGATGTTTTGAGATTTATAGCTGAATGGGATTTCCTAGAAACTCTTCCAATGCTCTCACTATGCCTTTAATTGGTTTTTACAATGTGAGTTTGTGTGGCTTCATGTGAGCGGAGATTTTCAAAACTAAGGTCCTATCAAGAACTATTAGCGATCCACTAGGGGACAGTCACGGCTTTCTGATCTTGCTCTATTATCAATTGAATGTGATGTGGTGAAGCATATGCATTTTGATAAAGTGATTGACAAGTTTGTAGCCTTGAAGACCACGAAAGGAACATACTTCAAAATTAAGTAAATTTAATGTAAAAGTAGCTATATCTAATCGTTGTTACGGTCCTTAAATACATGATTTATTTATTTGTTGTTCTTTTCAGTGTTATACCGGAGACGTATTTTGACAAGAAGAAATCGATTAGAAGTTTTGGGAAGAGGTTTGACACCATGAGTTTACCGCACAGGGTGACACCGTGAGTCTACCGCACAGGGTGATCCCGTGAGTCTACCGCACAGGGTGACACCATGAGTTTACCGCACAGGGTGACACAGTGAGTCTACCGCACAGGGGGACACCATGAGTCTACCGCACAGGGTGACACCGTGAGTCTACCGCACAGGGTGACACCGTGAGTTTACTGCACAGGGTGACACCGTGAGTCTACCGCACAGGGTGACACCATGAGTTTACAGCCCAGGGTCACACCATGAGTCTACCGCACAGGGTGACACCATAAGTTTACCGCATAGGGTGACACCGTGAGTCTACCGCACAGGGTTACACAATGAGTTTACCGCACAGGATGACACCATTAGTTTAACGCACAGGGTGACACCATGAGTTTACCGCACAGGGTGACACCGTGAGTTTAACGCACAGGGTGACACCATGAGTCTACCGCACAGGGTACACATTAAGTTTACCGCACAGGGTGAAACCATGAGTTTACAGCACAAGGTGACACCGTGAGTTTACAGCCCAGGGTGACACCATGAGTCTACCGCACAGGATTACCGCACCGGGTGACACCGTGAGTCTACCGCACAGGGTTACACAATGAGTTTACCGCACAGGGTGACACCATGAGTTTACCGCACAGGGTGACACCATGAGTTTACCGCACAGGGTGACACCGTGAGTTTAACGCACAGGGTGACACCATGAGTCTACCGCACAGGGGACACATTAAGTTTACCGCACAGGGTGAAACCATGAGTTTACAGCACAAGGTGACACCGTGAGTTTACAGCCCAGGGTCACACCATGAGTCTACCGCACAGGGGACACCATGAGTTTACAGCACAAGGTGACACCGTGAGTTTACAGCCCAGGGTCACACCATGAGTCTACCGCACAGGGGACACCATAAGTTTACCGCATAGGGTGACACTATGAGTCTACCGCACAGGGTTACACAATGAGTTTACCGAACAGGATGACACTATGAGTTTAACGCACAGGGTGACACCATGAGTTTACAGCACAGGGTGACACCGTGAGTTTACAGCCCAGGGTCACACCATGAGTCTACCGCACAGGGGACACCATAATTTTACCGCATAGGGTGACACCGTAAGTCTATCGCACAGGGTTACACAATGAGTTTACCACACAGGATGACACCATGAGTTTAACGCACAGGGTGACACCATGAGTTTACCGCACAGGGTGACACCGTGAGTTTACCGCACAGGATGACAACATGAGTTTACCGCACAGGGTGACAACACCCCTAGCTACACAACTGGTCATAAATGTCTGTCAGCCAATGGTAACGTCTTTCTTTGAATTCGGATAATTTCTGCAAAACTTGACAGGTCTTATCAATGACACGTGGCCAGATATTTGTTACTGACTGTGTAAAAAGGTAAGGGCAAGAGAGGGGGTTTGGGGGTCGACATGCTTAAGGGAGGTAAATGGGAGGGGGGGAGATAGCCATCACAGAAGTTATTAAATAGAACTCGCAGGTAAAAGTTTTTTTTTTAAATACGTCATTAGGATTCGTGGATTAAATAAAACTTTAAACACAAATAAAGGTGGTTGTTTGTTTAAGTATTGCAATCAGTAAATCTGGAATTCTCCATTAACAAATTGAACGTAATTGATTTTGAAAAATCTATCTATCTATCTATCTATCTATCTATCTATCTATCTATCTATCTATCTATCTATCTATCTATCTATCTATCTATCTATCTTTCTATCTATCTATCTATCTATCTATCTATCTATCTATCTATCTATCTATCTATCTATCTATCTATCTATCTATCTATCTATCTATCTATCTATCTATCTGTCTATCTATCTATCTATCTATCTATCTATCTATCTATCTATATGTCTGTCTGTCTGTCTATCTGTCTGTCTGTCTGTCTGTCTATCTATCTATCTATCTATCTATCTATCTATCTATCTGTCTATCTATCTATCTATCCATCCATCCATCCATCTATCTATCTAACTATCTATCTGTCTATCTATCTCTCTTTATATCTATCTGTCTATATCTATCTGTTTATCGATCTATTTATCGTATCGATAATCCATCGGTTATCTATCGATCTATCTCTCGATCATTCTATATATCTTATCGGAGGCAGAAATATTGAATACTAAGGAAAGGCAGACATAATTTAAAACTCAAGGAGAGACAGACATAATGTATACTGAATGAGAGGCATAAATAATGTTTACTACATAGAGGCAGACATAATTTATACTGAATTTGAGGTGACATAATGTATATTGAATGAGAGGCAGACATATGCATACTAAATGAGATGCAGACACAATGTATACTATATGAGATGCAGCCATAATATATACCGCAAAATTGCAATCATCGTTATAGGCATAGAACATTTTTTTCACTTTGTTAAACCTCATTCGATTAGTGTGCATCACTTTCTTCTTTGTTAGAAAAAAAAAAAGAATAACAGAGGTTTATATATATATATGTATATTAAATGAAACTAGATTAAGTCACAGGGAACCACTTCCTTTTAATTTTGATATCCAAAAAAAATTATTTTTTTTTATATATTTTATTAGACATCTATTATGTTTTACACCTTTTCCAAATGTTAATCCATTTTTAAAATCCCACAGATTAAATTAGGTGTCAAGCTCACCTTACACAAGGCATCGTCGAATTTGTCGTCCTCGCAAGCCGAGCACAGAAGTGTGGGACCCGATCACCCGAGCACAGAAGTGTGGGACCCGATCACACATAAACCGTGTAATGTGCCAAAAAAAGAAAATATCGTAGTGTCTGAATTACCCAGATTATGGGAAGTCGATAAGTCTCGCGCGAGTTGCTACACTCTTGTATCACGGACCAAACCCTAGGCAATCGTTAAAGACATGGTCTTTCGTGTAAATCCTTTACAACACGTGATATCGAGCGACGTGTGCTGGGATTGGGAATTTGATAAAGCATGCATAAGAAGTAATGCATTTTTAAGAATCTCAACCACGCATTATCTTTAAAGCAAACTTTAGCTATATTAATATTCTACTGACCCGCCAGCTTTTACACGGCAGATTTCTTTCCCCAATTGTGTCAGGAAAAAAGTTAAAACAAAATAAGAAAATATTACGCACAAACAACACTTACAATATACCGGTATATATATATATATATATAATGTTTGAAGAATCTCATTTAGCGCTGTTATCTTGATTTTTTTTTATCTTCATCTTGAAAAACAGGAAGATCAGATTTTTACAGGTGTGGGGTGGTGCTGAAAATTTGACAGAAAACGTTGTCATCGGCAAATAGTCTTTGTCCAAAGTTTCAGCTCGATAGCTTGACACAAAAAGTGGTTCAATTAGCCGTCCGAAGATTTTGCCACCCAGCCAGTCAGTTAGCCAGCCAGCGACCCACAAATAAAGGCGACGTTAATATTAGTTTGCATGTCATCAAGGTATCTGTATGTTATCAGATAATTGAATGTCATCAGGGTATTTGTGTGTCATCCAAGTATTTGTATGTCATCAGGATAATTTTTTGTCATCGGGTATTTGAATGTCATCAGTGTAGTTCTTCATAAGATACTGTCGGGATGACTTGTTAAGTTGAATCTAATTGACGTTGGTGCCTCCTAGTAATTACTGCAGATAAACATTTGCCTAGCATGAAAATTGTCACTTTTATGATGATAGAATTACCAATTTTCTATGACATTATCATCATCAGTGGCACTAAAGCCCATGTCGGGCCCTGGCCTGCTCCACCACATCATTACATTCGGATCGATCAATGTCTTTCCGTCTTTCTTTGCGCGAATCCTCAACTGGTGTATGTCTCTCTCATGTTTCCATCTCAATCTTTGTCGACCTTTGAGCCGTGTGCCACGAGGTTGCTGCCCGTAGATCATTGTGGCTGCTTTACGATCCGGTATCCTTTCAATGTGTCCTGTCCTTTTTTCTTAAATTGTTGTGACTAAGGGTGGGGTCTTTGTACAAATGGTGTCACTCCTGGTTTGTGCAAATCTCCAAAAATAATTGTCTATCAGTGAGCCATATATTTTGCTGATGATTTTCCTCTCTCGTGTATTTAGCAGGTTATCTGCTTTACTGATAAGGGATCAAGTCTCACTTGCATAAGTTCCTAGCGTTTTTAAAAAAAATAATAGTCATGTATTTTGGCTTCTTTGTGCCTCTTGAGATGTTTTTGTCTACAAGTAGCTGTTGTAGGCTGAAATAAGAATGGTCGCCTGCTGTTTTCCTTTCTGTCACCTTCGACTTATAGTTGCCCCCTAGTTATATTTGAAACTAGCCACTCTCTCGGGTTCGATTGTTTATAATGATATTGTCTTCAATGTGCATGCTACGTGACATTATCATACATTTCGCATTCGCTTTAATAAAACCTCAAGACCAGCTTTGACCGTGGCATCTTCAATTTTTTGTCTAAATTCTTTAACTCTATCATTGCTGTTTCTGCCTAGTACCGCTATACCGTCCGCGTATGTCAGGTGGTGCAACGGTTTGCCATGTTAAGTTTCTCATGTGTGTTTTTCTGCACACCTCTCTGGAGGTAGTTTTTACATGTTCCACTGTTGCTCACGTGTATGTTAGCCTGGAAGTAGTTTGTAATGGTTCCTTTGGTGCTCACAGGTACATTTCTCTGGAAGTAGTCTGTAATGGTTCCACTGGAGATCACAGGTACATTTCTCTGGAAGTAGTCTGTAATGGTTCCTTTGGTGCTCACAGGTACTTTTCTCTGGAAGTAGTCTGTAATGGTCCCACTGGTGCACACAGGTACATTTCTCTGGACGTAGTCTGTAATGGTTCCACTGGAGATCACATGCACGTTTCTAATAACCTTTTATGACGAGATTTTGAACAGAATACATGATAATGAATCTCCTTGTCCGAATCCTTGATTAATTGTGAACTCACTCGGGTATTCTCCCTGTAGTTTGATTCCACTTTTGGAGTTAGCCATCGTCATATGCATGAGCCGGGTAATTTCATTAAGGACTCAAAGATACTGTAGGGTACCGTAGAGCATGTTTCAGTTTTTTCCTGTCTATCATAAGCAGTTTTTAGTCCACATATAGTGGGTGTATGTTGATGTTGCATTCGAGGCATTTCTCCAGAAGACTTCTAATAGTAAAAATATGATCCATGGTTGATTTATTCTGACGTAATCAGCATTGATAGTCCCCTTGGATCTGTTAACTATACTTTTCCAGTTTTCTTGCTAAATGTGTTGTGAGGATTTTGTACATTACATTAAGAAGAGAGATTCCTCTGTAGTTTGAGCAGACCAACGTAGACCCTTTTTTGTGAATTGGGATTACAAGTGCATTCTTTTTTCATTTCTTCCTCCTGCAAGATTCTGGATATGAGGTCGTGTATTTGCCTATGCAGTTTGCTTCCACATAGCCTTATTAGGTCTGCAGTGATAAGGTCTATTCCTGGGGCGTCGTTATTCTTCGTGGTAAATATCACATCATTTGTTTCATTTAATGTTGTCTGCTTGACCAATGGGTCTGGTACTCTTTTGTGGTAGAGCGTGCTCCTCATTGGTTCCTGCACCGGAGCCATTCAGAAATCCTTCAAAGTGTTGTGCCCATCTCTTTAGTACTCCACTGCTCTCTCTGATCAGTCTTCCATCCAAACATTCATTCATGTGGGATCTTGCCTGAAAGCCGTCCAGTTCCTGCTTTATCTTCAGAAACGTTCCTGTCAACTCTCTCTCTTTTGCCAACGCAACGATCTTGATTTTTCCCAAACACATTTTATTTTTTTTGCAAAGTTCGATCGCCAACTTTATTGATTCATTAAATGATTGTCGTGCTCTTCTTGTCTCCCTTTGCAGCATATTTAGCTAAACCTTGTTTCCTTGTTCTATAAGTTCTCTGCATTCTGCGTCACACCATTCTGTTCTTTTCGCTGTCGGTTTAAATCCTATTGCATCCTCTGTTACAAGTTTAACTATTTGCTTCATTTTTTCCCCCATGGCTCATTTATATTGATGCTGTTGGCTGTTTCTCTATTGAATAATTCTAACTGATTACGAATCTTCTGTTGATGTGCCCCAAGTAATTTTTGGGTCCTTAATTAATTTCTTACTCTTGTACTGTTTTTTTATTTTTTATTTGGTTTATTGCAGATGTTACAAATTCTTTATTTATATTTTATTCGTATAAGTAGATGGTCTGTGTCTACATGTGCCCCCGCCCCACCCAAGAGTATGTGGTCTGAGTCGATGTCTCCCAATCTACAATGTTGTACATCTAATATGTCAAAACCATGCCTCCGGTCAATCAGTACGTACTCAATTTGATTGAAGGGTAAATCCATCTGCTGATATCTATGTCACTCTATAACTTTGTTTGTGTTGGAATATTGTGCTGCTAATTGTCCCTTCTTTCCATGTAGCGGAGTCTCTCAGACGTGTTCCGTTGTCATTGCTCTCGTCATGCAGACTTTCTCTTCCAATAGTTGGTCTCTAAGCAGAGTTCTTGCGCGATTTTTGCGTTAAAATTTTCATGACAACTTTGCAATATGTCGTGGTGCCTCATCAAAGATTCTTTCGAGTGTTTCACATAGATAGTCCTTAGTGCTTTCATCTGCGACCCTTCGTTGGAGAATGTGCGCCGGTTAACGTGGTGTTAATCATTTTTCCCCACCTATCCTTATGGAGCGCGGTCTTTCACTCACTGGTTTAAACCCAATGACTCCATTTCTGTCTCTTTTCTTTTGCTGCAAACGCTGTTCCTAAGGGTATTGGTGTTGTTTACAATGAAAAATATTGTATAATCCTTAGTACTTAAGATATCCGAGTTTGTTTTTTTTTGCATATGATCTTCTGCAGTGCAGCAACCACTATTCGATACCTTATCACTTCGTCACTGAGGTGGGTCAACGCTTCCTCTCTATGTGCACTCAGTCAATTCAAGGTCGCCGTCTGTATATCATATTTTCGTTCAGGGGTAGGTCGAAATCCAAAATTATCAGTCGCTTTTTTTTTTTACTTTTGTGATTTAGCTTTCTTAACATTTGATTTTTGTATGTGACAATCTCGTTAGCCCTGCATAAAAACGTCTGCGGGTGGGGGGGGGAGGGGGGAATTCCCCTTGCAGCTCTCAGGGTGGCTGCCTTTGCGTTAGATCGGGTCCCTAGCCTTTGTGGATCCCTGAAATTTCCTTAGCAATTTCTAAGACTTTATTATACCGTTAACGCATTAAATCTAAAATTCTTTTCACAAAAATTCGCCACTTTCTTTCTCTAGTTCACGGCCATCGTCCCGTTGACACTATCTCTTTGTGTTGATCGCTGGGACATTGCTGGGCTCTCTTTCTCTAGTTCACGGCCATCGTCCCGTTGACACTATCTCTTTGTGTTGATCGCTGGGACATTGCCGGGCCGGCGCTGTTTTTACCCAAAATGCCACGTTGCATTGCATTTGTGGCGTCTCCATGTACGTGGTCCCGAGAACAACAAATAGCGAGTTTGTCATCGTTGCGATCTATTGATTTCTTTCAATGCCTCACGAGCAGCGTTTGTTCGCAACTGTTGAAGTGGCTGCATAAACGTACGGTCAGACAAACATGGAAAAATATCGATACTCATGTCAGGGTTTTTTCGGGAACCGCTGTGTACTGTTTGCCGCCAAAAAGAGCCGCGGGACAGGGATCAACTTGATTAGTGTACATTGTACACATGTCATTACCTTATTGTTTTAAATCAAGCGTAAAAGAAAAAAAAATAAGGTAGAATTTAATTTAAGTTATGATAATCCCGTCCGTCCGATTGTTTGGGGGTGTGGGAGGGGAGGTTTGCACTGATTTGAATTCCTTTAAAGTGCTTTACCTGTATGCATGTTTTGTCAAAATTTTCAGCCCCCCCCCCCAATTGCTGCAAAATACATTTTATTAGGGATTTATACCATAAATTTTTTTCTTTGGGTTTTGTTAAATTAAATTTTAAAACAGCAAAAAAAAAAAAAAAAGATTTATTTTCATCAAAAATGCTTTTACGCCACCATCCTATTGCAACTAGTAAAAGAAAAATATCCAAACACGCATTATTTTAATAAAATCATAAGTATTTTTTAATTATTATTTTTTAAATTAACTTTGTATATTTCTGCATGACAATCAACGTGGGATAGCATTTATTTGAAAATAGATTCACAAGGGACAGGAAAAAAGTTCACTTCTTCGCCTTTCCACTAACGCCTTCGGAAAACAAAATGCACGCAACACACTTATACATGTCTTAAAACAGACATATACGCGTCGTATTAAAACAGACGTACGCATGTCTTAAACCACAGTTGTACATGTCTTACAACACACTTATACATGTCTCAAAGCAGACGTTCTTAAAAAGTCGAAGTCTTTGAAGACGTAGCAATAAAAAAACAGCTTCAAATTTCAACCACCAAAAATTGACCCTCATTTATTCGCGATAACATCAGCCCAGGTTAAATAAAACAACAACAAATCTTTCTTTATGACAGCAGCATTTAAGGCTCCTTTCTGCTTGGTATGGCATGAATACATAAGAGAGCATGCACCATTGTAACTAGTGGTCTGGCACGCAGTCGTCAGGTCGCCGAACACCGTTCTCTTTCCAGCGACGTGACTCGTAAGCTTAAGTAAACACCGTTCTCTTTCCAGCGACGTGACTCTTAAGCTTAAGTAAACACCGTTCTCTTTCCAGCGACGTGACTCTTAAGCTTAAGTAAACACCGTTCTCTTTCCAGCGACGTGACTCTTAAGCTTAAAGTAAACATCGAAACCCTCTAAGCAGTAAAAACATAAACTAGGAACACGCAAAGTGAACATTAAATAAAAAAGGAAAAGAAATTTAAAACCCATCTTTTTTATTTAATATTACATGTGAACAATATTATTATTTACACAAATCACAGTTTTAACAAAAACGCTTGAAACTGTCATCACTGTTACGCAAATAGCCTAATGGCACATCGGCACAATGCGTGCAGAATGTGAAAGTGCTAAAAGTTCCCTATCTTGAACGCATGCATGCGTTTGTGAACGGTGCATCGCACAGGCCGCAACGTGTTACAAGTGTTGAAATGAGAGATGTGTTGGGCCGTTGGGGTTTGAACTGTGTATCTCGGTGGTGAAACAGTGTTCGTAGTGGGACCAACATTTTCATTCGTAGTAACCACTGGTGTGGCAATTCAACGTCTGATCTTAAACACCGCATAAACCGACTAATCAGGAACGCTAGGGACATAGCACAAACAAAATACAACCTTCACTGGAAAACTATTTTGAAGAAAGACGATATTGTAAAACTAAACACATTTTGGATGATACATCGCACCCTCTTCATCACAGATACTTAGGATCGGCGCCGTTCGGGGCGAATTCTTTCCGTCAGGGCGAGGACTAAAAGATATAAAAATTCTTTTGTTCCCCAATCTGTGCGAATTTACCAGCGTGCTCCCCCCCCCCTGAAGTCACAAATCTTAATGAGAACTAATAAGTCCGTAATATGGCTAAGAGAACTCAATGAGACCAAACACACACACTTTGGGTACGCCTGGAAAGAAACTGGAGAGTAAAGCACAGGACAGAGATGAAAAGAACATTCTTTTACACAGCCTATCATCACCCCCGGCTGTTATAAAAGGCGTTAGCAAGGAAGTATTTTGTCTGAATGGGATCCAGTTTTTTTTAAAAGAAGAGGACAGACCTAATCCGAGGGAGTTTTTCAAATGTCTGCACCAAGTCACACGCTTATGCTGACTATTTCACAAACTTTTGATGTTTTTTTGGAAAAGCACTCTGTCGAAGCAAGGTGAAGCCTAATCCACCAATAAGTAAATGTGACTTTCGTCTGAATCCTCACACACTGTGTGCAAACATGTTTCCCCGTTTTATCAAATTTGCAACAATGCCCTTAACCAATTGGTGTACGAACATTTCAATCACTTGTGTTGAATGTTACAGAGCTTCTTCTTAGTCTTAATAAAAGGGGAGGGGGGTCGGGATGCAGAACCATCTTAGAGAATACATTCGTGATTCTCTATCGAAACAGTTACTAAGCCGTCAGGGGTCCCCTTCCTTTGACACAGTCCACTCTCAGAACGGCGAAATGTCGTAACAACACAGGGGTTTCTTTGAGACAGTCCACTCTCAGAACGGCGAAATGTCGCAACAACAGACAGCATAACCGCGTTTTCTAGCGCCGTCTTTTGTAAATAAAATATAAATTGTTATACTACAATTTTCAAACTTGCAACCCCCTTTTTTTCATGAACACTTAATTAAAAGCCAAAATAATGGTCTCCACTGAATACATTTATCACCGTTGCGAGCCCCATTTCAAATTAAAAATTGCCCAACAAACTTTCCTTGGAATCCATGGCGGCCGTAGCTGAGCGCTGTTGAGAAACACTCACATGCGTGCAAGATGCAAGATGCAAGAGTTGCAGTACTGGCAGCGTTTGCGCATGGTTTACATACTTAAAGAAAATAATCTGACAAAGATTCCCTTCTTGCGGCACGCACACATACATAAGGAGATCAATAAATTAATGGCATGATTTAGTGCCACTGTTCAAATGAGACGTTCACATACCCCTCAAAACCACCTAGTTATTTCGAGGTATCCAGCTTGGAAGATACACATCCGAATTGACGAAGCCCCGCGATAACTGTGACCCCGGCGTCGGGTAGTCCGCGTAGTAAACCGTGGTCCCGTTGGCCAGCCAGGCCGCCCACCAGCCGTACGTCCCGCCGGAGATCACCGAGTGGTCGCACCCGGCCAGGATGGCGAGGTGCAGCCCGGGCGAGCCTTGGCTCAGGATGACGACGTCGCTGGCGTTGAGATTGCTCTCGCACCACCCGAGGTCGTCGCTGGCAACGACGAAGACCAGAGAGCCGTTGGGCAACAGTTCTCTCAGTGTCGCAAAAGCCTTGACGTAATACGAAGCCTGCGGTACCCCGAACCCGGCATCCTGATGACGCTCTGCCAGGAAATCCCCTCTTCTGACGTGTACACCGACAGACACGACGTCACCACCTCTCTGTTTCGTGAGTTGCCGGAAGAATTCGTCCCTTCGTTGCTGAATCCCGGGGTGGAAGGTAAACTCTCTCCTGATTTCCTCTTTTGCGTGGTCCAAGAATTTCCAGGAGAAGAAATATCCCCAGAGAGTTATGTTTCTTTTAGGGAGGTTGAAAAATGATGGGTAGAACTGTGCGTGATTTTCCTGATGAACAGTGGTCCACCTAAAGAAATTTAGGAGAAAAAAAAATAATTAAAATGTATAATGGAATTCGAGCTTAACAAAACAAATTCTTCTTTTTTTTTTTAGCATCAATTACAAAAAAAGGAACATATGCCAGAAACAATTTTTTTTTTAAAAAAGCAATTAAAAAATATATTACTATTAAAATTAAAATTAACTTTTTCAAAAAATTGAATCAATTATATTTTTTTTTTCATCTCTTTTCTGGGCTTTCCTGTCGTTTCACTTCTGCTAGATTTAATTTTTATTTGTTCACTTCGATTTAAAAATTCAAGACAATTGGGGATTCAAACTTAAGTTATTTGATAACTTTTCGTTGAAATTTACTTTTTTTATATTGTAGCAGATCGATAATTCAGTACAATAATAGAGACGAGTAAGTATTATAATTTAGCAGATGAGCGAGTATACGCACCCATAGAAAGAGATGAGCGAGTATACGCACCCATAGAAAGAGATGAGCACGTATACGCACCCATAGAAAGAGATGAGCGAGTATACGCACCCATAGAAAGAGATGAGCGAGTATACGCACCCATAGAAAGAGATGAGCGAGTATACGCACCCATAGAAAGAGATGAGCGAGTATACGCACCCATAGAAAGAGATCGAAAGATGGACACGGCGGAAATGGGAAAGGAGACGTATTGACATATTGTAATTTTAAAGGTGGTAGCTGGAAAGTCTAATCAAAGGTATTGTGCTAAACGATTTCAATGTAATGGGACTGCGGCTGCAAATCAACTAACATACATCAATGTGAAACTCATTCTATATTTTGTAAGATGTAAAAAAAATAAATGATATGTTGAGATTGGACGTCTGCGAATATGTAGAGTGAATAGTGAGTGAGACATATGGGTGCAGGATATAATAGCGTAAAGGTCATCATGTTAACACTTCAAGCTTTAAATAACTATGGTGCTATCAGGAGATCTGCCATACGTTACATTGGTGGCAGCCGTGGTCCGCAGCTGCGTTGTTGAAGTGACTTTAAATCAAATCGTTATTATTGAAACTATCACTACGCTACATAAGAACATAGAAATAGACCAAGGCGGTTATATTTAGCTATACTGTGTCTGATACAATAAAAACCAGACACGTCTGTTTAAGCTTGATGTCTAGATTTTTGACGACTAGCTACAGGTAAGATAACATGACCTCTGACATCTCAACTCAAGAATCACTGCTCCCTCACATCTCAACTCAAGAATCACTGGCCTCTCACATCTCAGCTCAAGAATCACTGGCCTCTCACATATTAACTCAAGAATCACTGACCCCTCACATCTCAACTCTAGAATCACTGGTCCCTCACATCTCAGCTCAAGAATCATTGGCCCCTCACATATCAACTTAGGAATCACTGGCCCCTCACATCTCAACTCAAGAATCACTGGGCCCTCACATCTCAACTCAAGAATCACTGGCTCCTCACATCTCAACAAAAGAATCACTGGCCCCTCACATCTCAACTCAAGAATCACTGGCCCCTCACATCTCAACTCAAGAATCACTGGCCCCTTCACATCTAAACTCAAGAATCACTGGCCCCACGTACTGACAACGAAGGGACGCAACTGTCGCAATACAGCAAAGTCGGCCAAGGCAGACTTTAATTGTTTTTTCCACAGCCACTCTCAGACGGTGTGAATTATACAATTTAATGTGTCCTGTGTCTCACTTCTCAAATGTTGACATGAAACGCTAGCTACATTGAACGATTCCTTTGATAAAATGAGCATATTGAAAGAAGTAATCAGGGATATCAACACAGCTGGAGTTAATGGAGGTATGCAGACTCATTGTGAAGAAGATTGGCCAAGTCAAGAGTTACCCTGAAACGTATGGCCCATGTCCTGATTGTACACTAGTTACTTAAGCCGTCAGATAACCTTACAGCTCTGACATAATGTAAATATGACCGTTACATACTTGATCAACTCTGCAGACACATGTCTCACTCAGTACTCACTCTGTGTACTAATTATATGTATGTTTGGATGCAATGAAGCTTTGAAACAGATTAATTAAACACGAAAAATATGTGTCATTGAAACAATATACGTTCAGCTTTAATACTAATTTTACATAATACATACGTTAATATTTCGGCAAATGCCGTCATCAGTATAACAACGAAACATTTAAATAATTATAAATTAAATTTACATAATTTATATATTTACATGTATCCTAGAAGAATTCAATTTTCACGTCTCATTCATTTATTGACAAAATTCGACAATGTTAAAATAAGTTTCACTTTAATGAATAGTTGTTGACTGCAGCACTATTCCATTACAGACATTCCTTTAGCGCAATACACGTGATTAGCCCTTCCAGCTACCACCTTGAGAAATAAACTATGTCAATATACAGTTGTTCACGGCACAGTCACTTGACTGCTGAATGCGTGGAAAATTATAGCCATCAAATAAAAGCTTGCGTCAGACAGACACATTGTTATCTACTGATTAAAAGCAGACTTAAAGTCTGGACAAGGTAGAGACATATTTTTAGTATCTAGAGACTTCAAGACATATGTTCTGTACCTAGGGATGTAAAAACATATGTTCTGTACCCAGGAATGTAAGGACATATGTTCTGTACCTAGGGACTTAAAAACATATGTTATGTACCTTGGGACTTAAAAACATATGTTATGTACCTAGGAATGTAAAAACATATGTTCTGTACCCAGGAATGTAAGGACATATGTTCTGTACCTAATGACTTAAAAACATATGTTCTGTACACAGGAATGTAAGGACATAAGTTCTGTACCTAGGGACTTAAAAACATATGCTTTGTACCTAGGGACTTAAAAACATACGTTCTTTACTCAGGGACTTGAAGACATATGTTCTGTACCCAGGGAAGTAAAGACATATATCCTGTTCCTATGGATATCCTGTTCCTTTAGACGTAAAGGCGTATGTTCTGTACCTAGGGACTTGGAGACAATAATTTCTGTATTGTGGCAATTGTTTGAAACCCCTAAGGCAAAATGCTATCAAGTCGTTAAACGTCTGCCGAAAGTTTTATGAGGCATTAGCAATTATTTTTTTACATTGTAAGTAATCATTCTCAGACACACACAAGTCTTAAGAGCGACACACACAAGTCTTAAGAGCGATGCATACAAATCTTAACAGCGAGAAACACAAGTCTTAATAGCGACAGACACAAGTCTGAAGAGCGACAGACACAAGTCTTCAGAGCGATGCATAAAAATCTTAACAGCGAGGCACACAAGTCTTAAGAGCAACACACACAAGTCTTAAGAGCAACACACACAAGTCTTAAGCGCGCACACCTCTCCCGGTTGGACTTACCCGTGGGTGCTTATGTTGTTCGTGACGTGCGTTATGGCAAAGTTACCGTCCAACAGCGTCCCACTCCGAATGAACGGACGTCGGTCGTTGGCCTTAGCTATTCCCAGAAGGGCTGCGTACATGCACATCTGGTTACCCAGCCTCCCACGGAACGAGGTGGTTATGTACAGGTATTGCAACACGTTGTCCACTGTAGACACCCGGTGAGCCGTTGCGGTCGTTGGACTAGGATTGTGGCTATCGAACCATGCCGCAGTGACGCACAGCGTAGAATTGACGTCTGAGCAGTTGAGAGTTGTGGTGACAGTCTCGGCGTTGTTATCGGTGGTGGGGGTGGCGTGAGATACAGGAACTGTGTCGTTATTCTTTATAATTTTGAGAACCGGTGTGTTTGTTACAAAAACATTTAAAGATACATTTCCATTTAAATTCGTATTGCGTGGTGCGTCATTACTTGTAACTATGGACGCATTGTAGACGCTACGTAAGTACCATGCAGTCATGTCAACGTCCAATGATCTGAGAATAGGAAAAAGACGTTAAAACTAAGTAAAATCGAAAGTATGTACAAACATAAAAGTATATATATATATCTATATAGACACATGAAAAAAAAGAATGCTCTATATTATTATATTAATGATTTTCTAAGATTTCTCTACATACAACTTCAGGTAATTTTATTCATTAAAATTTGCTACAAGTTCTCAGCTTGTCCAGAAAATATTTCTACTACACAAAAATAGTGATCAAAAGAAATTCAGTTTATTACTTGTTTCAAGTATAAAGAGTTATAAGAATATATTACAATATGTCCCTGCCAGAAACAAAGTGCCCGGTATTGAAGACGGTATGTCCATGTTTGCAAGGACCACACAGCGCGGGTATCAGGAACTGGGGGGTTTGAAGGCCTGGGACAATGGACGCAAATATGACAAGTGTTGTCACCTAAAATGTTTCTGTTTTGGAGGCATATTTCAGTCCCTGATTGTCTTTGGCAGGAATGAGCAGCTCCTGTACTGTGTTCTTGCTGTTACGAGCCGGAACTGCCTGTAACGGCCACGTCGCTGTCTAGGAAAGGGGGGGGGGAAGGATGAGTTTCTGTTTAAAGTTTGAGCAGTGGACCAGCTCATTTTTGTTTATCTTGTACATCATGGCCAGCCCCAGGATAGTCATCATCGTTCCTTCAATGGTGACCAGCCCAGTGTTTCCAGCATGCTGCCAACACTAGAGGTGTCCATGTAGCGGTTCAGGACAAAGCGTGCTGCCCGTCACTGGACCGCCTCCGGGGGGAGGGGGTGGGCAGTGTCCCACCGGGGAAAGCCAAGGCTCCCCCGAGCAAAAATATATCCAACAATAAATCAACTGGCACTGCTGACAATGACCCCCCCCCCAAAAAAAAATATAAAAATCTGAAGTGCCCCCTGTTGGAAAATAACAAAACACTGAATGCTAATTACGCATTGTTTGGCACACCATATTATGTGTTGTGTAGTGACGTCATGTTTTTATGCTATCTAGTCTAGTGCTCCATGTTGGTAGGACTCCATGTTGTTCTCCTACAATAAAACGTTGAACAAGCCTTAATGGTTGCCTCTGCTTGTTTGATTATCTTCCTTATGAAGTACCTTAGCAATACTTTCAACAACCAACCCCCCCCCCCCCTTTCCCGGGGGGGGGGGCCATTTCTGAAATAATCAATGTTTATGGCTGCCTTGTTGCACACATTGTTAATATGTTCGTTCCTGAATAGATATTTGGAAGAGCGCCGGTCTGAATAAAGGCTTCTACAAATGCTTACATCAAAAAAAAAACGTAACCCGAACGTTCCTCAAAGCCATTTGAAAATATTTTTTTCTTAATCTTTACACTCTAAATTTTACCATGAAAAAAAATTACAGCTTTTGGGACCAATGTATCGTGACCAATCTTTCCACGATCCATCTTTCAAATGATCAATAATAATGATAATACAACCAAAAAAAAAAGAACATGATATAGTGTTTACTCGTGTACTACGGGATTAAGTCGAGACCTTGAAGCGACTAATGAATCTAGTAGGTTACGTGCAGTGATCAGCATCTTATCTGCACTGAAAACAGAGAAGCGCTCTAGAGCACTCAGCTACGTGTTTCCTATACAAGAGCGTTTAATACGCAGCATTGCCCGGAAACATGTTTTGATACCGGGTAGGCAATGTATGAAGACATTTTGATACAACTTATAAGCACTCGATGCTTTCTATGGTAGATGGTGAAAACAATGGTGTATCGATACTTAACTATTCCATGCTTTCTATGTTAGATTGTGCGGTAAAAAAAATAAAAGCTTATCGATACTTATATAATCTACCCATTTAGTATCAGATAATGGTAAAATAACCATAGCCAAACTATACGCATAGAAGGAATCATTTTAAGGAGGAACGTCAAATGCGATAAAAATTCAGAACTTGAATATATTTAGTTAATTAAATAATATAGTCAATGAAAATATATCAATTATTAAAACATTGCAGTGGGAAAGTCTCGGAAAAGAACATACATTATTATTTTTATTTTTTTATGAATAAGTGTAACTTTGAGAGAAAATTACTATGCAAGTTGTCACAGATCAAATATTTAGGTAATAATTTTGCTTCGGAATAATGTATTGTTTTTATAAGTTAGAAGGAACAGGAAGTTAATTATGATAGGTCATGCGCAGAAGTGAGCAGAAGAGTGCAAGGACAGAAGTAGAATGGAAGTGTTCATTAAAGATATCGGTGCTCTTCATCCCTCTCATAGCATTGAGTCACTTAGTCAATAGATCTGTGTGAAAGTCATATGTGAAGCAAATAGACAATATTAGTTACTAGATCGAACTTCCCATCTAGTAAAGTTACTTGACAAAACATGAACTCAAGTAACGCACATTTAAGAATCCCAATATTTGCTACACCCCTTCCCTCATGATACGTCACTTGCACACTTTTTTATTTCACGCCATGAACTATATTAATATTCGCATGCCCCAACCACTTTTAAACCGAATACTTTTTACACAATACTTAAATTGAGACGATTTCATTTCCGAATAGGAAATATTGCGCACCAAACGCAATTGGGTTTTTTAAAGAAAATATATATCATTTAGCGTAGTTATCGGGGAAAAAAAAAAGAAAATTCAGCTTACGATGTTATGACGTAGAAACTATACAATCCAATCAGACCGACTGCAATAAGGGCGGGGAACAGTCTCCACTTGAATGACTTTGTCAGGCCCAGAGGGGTTAGCCTGAAATAAAGCGAATACATTGTATGTTATCAATTACTGTGCTGGGAATGCTGTCTGAAAATGAATTGCGTGCCATTTTATGGCGGTGACGATCAATGTTCCCTCTAAGGTTTGCTGGTTCGTGTGCAAAATCATACAGTTGTGTGCAAAGGTTTACAGCATCAATTTTTTGTGTGCAAAATTGGACAGCCCACAAACACACGCACGCACGGAAATTACAGGAATGACATTAAATGCAAAAAAAAACAACACATTTATATAAATAAATAAAGGAACTAAAATTAAATATTTACAATGAGTAGTGTCACGATATTTCAATTAAAGCTACATTTATGTCTATCATTCATTCCGTCGTTGGGTCTAGCAACTAAATTCCAACACACTCACTACACTAGCCGCTGTTCATTTAATTGGTTCATTCCTGGGGGTGCACTGGCGTCTTTTTTAACACATCGGCAAGGTTGATCTAATGGCCAGCATTATGATACGATTTAATGGTCATAACCGTGTCTCAATTTGACTTTGTCCAGCCTTTTTCTAGATTTTATTTCTATGTTATTCATTAGGCTGAATCCACGTTCACAACCGGCGCTTGGTGAAAGAAATGTAGGACAAATATACATTAGGATGGCAATGTCGCTGAATTGCTCCTCATTTATTACAAATTCAACCATGTCGTCGACAGTCTGCTGAAACCCGCATTTTTTTTTTCTAAAGCACAAACCTTAATTTACGATTCTGATCCTTAACTTTCGGCAGACTGTCATCATTATTTTCCAGGAATGCCGCATATCTAGAAACTAGTGCTGCAAGTTCTTCTTTGCAAAAATTAAAATATGAAGTGTCGATTAACGCTGATATCTCAAAGATTCGCCATTGCATCACATTCACTTTCATGGTGTAAACATACACATTCAACGAATTTTAGGATGGAACTTATGTTTTATATCTTCGTCATTTGCAAGCAATTCAGCAACCTCTTCGGATCAGTGCACATTTTTTCCAAGGCACTGGGCACGAAGCTAAGCGATCCTTGCTTTTACAAACTGGTCTGCCTCGATGGTCGTAAGATTTTTTTCTTTGCAGCACCTTGCATAATGTATCAAGTTGAGCGACAACTTCATCAAAGACAATCAGTGCAGTTTGAAACTGCGGATCCCTTAGATTCTTCAAACAGTGCTTATGAACTGGATCACTATACAGGCCCACCTGCTCCTCACAATATTCAGTCAACACGTGTATGTTTCTCAGCAACGCTCGTATAGCGAAATGCCGCGAAAGCCATCTGATTTCATTTTCTGGTGTAATCACATAACAACACATTAGCTAGCTACGTAAATTGGGCTTTTCGTACTGTTGGCCTTCTGAACAATGTGTGCACTGTGCGAAGGAATGTTTTAATGTCTGCCATTAAAATTCGTATCCGGAAATTTGATCGAAAGAAATTCCGTCGACGGTAAATTGGTCGACGGTAATATGATCGAACGGAAATTTGGTCGAATCTTCTTTTCAATTTTTACATGACAATTTTGCATCAAATTTCTTTTTGAACGAATTATTTTGTTTTACTAAGTATTATAGTGCATTCAAAAAGAAATTTGACGAAAATGTTAACGTGCGAACGGAAAAAAAGATTCGACCAAATTTCCGTTCGATCAAATTACCGTCGATCAATTTACCGTCGACGAAATTTCTTTCGATCAAATTTCCGGTAACCATTAAAATTATATGTTTGCAAGCATCATCAGAGCCTGAATCTTCACGATGAGCTCCGCAATGTTGCTCCAGTAGATGTAAAATACGTCGGCTAAGAATTGCTGCAATTCCATTGTTCTTGCCCAGTATAACCGATGCACCATCAGAGGTAAACATAACCATTTCTGCTTGTACAATGAATTCTCTTGATAAAACTCTTGTGTTGCTGGTTTCATTGAACATGGAACATTAGTGTCACATGCCGACATGGAACATTAGTGTCGCATGCCGACATAGACAAAATTCCAAAAAGCACTGTCTTGAAAATATTATCTGGAAATGACCAAAACTTCGCGTATAAGATCAACATTTTTGTCAGTGATATATCAGTGCTCTCGACTACTGTTAATGTGGGGAACTTTGCATTAAAAATTTATCTAATTGTAACATCGTTCACAAAAAAAAAATAGATAGAATCAACAAACACAAAAGCGTAAATTTTACTCCGCCAGGCATCAGGGAATGGGGAATACTTCGCCTTATTGTTGTGTTTGTATTGAACCGCATTCATAGATGTGTTCTTGCTGATAGCCAAGAGGATGTTGTCACTCAAAATTTTAAACTGGTCTTCTTTAGCCTTTTTTACCTCATGCTGCTCCTTGTCTCATGCCTCGATCAGCGACACTTTCTGTAAGCATTCGCAGTACACCTCCTGACGGTTTAGAGCGAAGTCTCTGCACAGCATCTGTGTGTATTGTTCGCTTGATTTGTCGTTCAAGATAATCTAACTCACAAGCCTCCCACCTTTTCCGTGTAGAGAAATTCCCTCCTGCATCTTTCACAGACAGCATCATCATCAGTTTCACGATATTTAAAAACAGCACCCAGCTTGACAGTGTGCTCTGACGACAGATCTGGTAACGCCCAGTGCGCACATTCATTGAGCCAATCCGCTTTACAATTGGTTCTACACTTTTCCTTAACAAGCGATGACTGTAACAGTTCGTTACACTGACGTTTAGACATTAACGGTTAAGACATTATTAAAAAGACTTAGCTACTACATTTATAATAAACTAGAGATATGCGATTTTATTTACTTTATACACATTTACTGCGAAGTTTTCGTCACGAAATTTACATGATTGGCGGCTGTGGTTCAGAACGAGGCTAGCTGGATCCGGTATGCATTGGTAAGTATGAAAAATCAATAGTTCAACGTAAAGAGTAGAAGAAAAAATAAATATCTAAATCAAATTAAAAAGATGGATGTATATGTTATAAGAACTGTGTAATTCCGGCTGCAGAGTTCAAAATTTTCTGCGCGGATACTCAAAAGTGCTTCGCGGATACTCAAAAGTGCTCCGCGGATACTCAAAAGTGCTCCGCGGAGTCTGTGATATTGCTGCGCGCCGCGAAGCTTAAAGGGAACATTGGTTATGATGCTACCTGAAAATGAAATTAAGCAAATATTACGCTAGCAATGTTGCCTGACATTGAATGAAGTGCATGTGATGCTAGCAATGCTACCTGAATTAAAACAAGTGCATATAAATGCTAGCATTGCTACCTGGAACTGAATCACGTACACATTATGCTACCTGGAAGAGAATTATCCGAGTGTATTTCAAAAATCAATACGACCTTAAGGGGTAGGGGGAGAGCGATTTAAATAAGTTAAAGATTATAAAATTATAAACCATAAAACATTTGGAAAATGTCACATATAGATTTCCCATTTTTCTTATTCATAACCCGTTGTGTGATCTAATATTGGGCCATACAATAGCCCATTTGTTCGACTTAAAAAAATGAATTCAATGTCCTGCTTTTGATGATTATTTTTATACATGAAGATATAAACACAGGCACGTCATTTTGGTAGATCATAGTGGGGCATTAGCCAGTAGTACACAACAAGCCGACCAAGCTTGGTTTTGCCCCACCCCCACCCCTTTTTTTCTGAAAAAAAAAAACAACCTGAAATGACGCCCCTGTATAAACAGATAAGACCGGCAGACGGAAAGACGAGAACGAACAGACAGACTGAGGAGTACCTGACTTTGTTTGTATTTGTTTTACTACGCGTTCGATGATGCCTTATGTAAGTGATAAAGACTTTACATATTTAGGTCGAATGCGCGAACTTTTTAAAAACAAAGATGACTTTTTTTTTTATTTCCTATTTACTTTAAAATGTATCCTGACTCTCACGCGCTCGGCTACACCGCCTTTATTTAAAACTGACGAAGACCATCATCGATCCCTCAATAATAGATGGCATGGGAAAGAAGTTTTCGTGGGACTTAAATTTAGAAGACTGCAGTCACTCTATGTTCATTGAGACCGAGTGGGGTGGACAAAAATCCACAATAAAACGGCAGCACAACAGCTCTCGCGGACACATTGGGGAAAACAGTGATAGACAACACAGGTCCTACCTGCTCTTATCACAGACCCGTCCACAACACACGTACACGGACGCTTCAGGACAGTTCAACAAGACGTCACAACCCTTAAAATAATGATCGTTTAACTTACATTTTGGGTCCAAATGAGGAAAGAAAACTTTTATGTCGTTTGACAAAAATCTATTTAAAGGTGTGATCCCTTACGGTAAATCCCATGGCTTGCCGTTACACACATGAGCTGTGGGTTTGTGTAAAGTTTGATCCATTTCATTCTGCCGTGACTATACCAATAAATTTAACCGGAAATTCCGCCCAGCCCACACCCCTCCGCCAATGTTACAGGTTCGCTGTGCCTGCAAATAGTGTATTTAATGGTATCGGGTTCCACTAGGGGTTATAACACTTGCAGCCCTTACTCAAGAAAGGGGCAAAGCTTGTCGATTTTAATATAAGCAGATGCATTATCATAACAATAGATACTTTTTTTTTACAATTAGGCCCTCGACGTGCATACGAATAGAGAAAACAACAACAAAGGGGTTGCACCAGCCAGCTCTAAGGGAAAGCTTACAATATCAGTGAAGCGACACAACCTCCAAGCAGTAGCAAAATTTCAATTTTTTAAAATATATTTTGGGGGGGGGGGTGCAGAGCGCTCTTTCCAGGTCAGCAACAATAAGTGATGAGATCAGCAACCGAATTTCCAAAGCAAGTGTCGCCTTCAGAAGGCTCCGCAGGAGTGTTTGGGTGGGAAGGGTTCCTAGTCTTTTCACTAAGCTGAAGGTATATACGGCAATCGTATTAACATCACTCGTATATTCTGGCGAGACGTGGACAGTGTACAGCAGACATGCTAGACAGCGAAACCACCTCCACCTATACGCTTCCTACATAGACTTCTTGGTATAAGATGGAAGGTCAAGGTCCCTCAATAAGAAGTCGTACAAATGGCTGATTTTTTTCACCATCCACACGATCCTACAAAACAAAAGGACAAGCCTGGTCAGCAGGGCATGTCCCAAGAATGTAAGAAAGTAGACTTTCCAAATGACTCAGATAAGGTGAGCTCTCCTTTGATGTCCCAAGAATGCAAGACAGCAGACTTTCAAAATGACTCACATGAGGTGAGCTCTCCTTTGATTTCCCAAGAATGCAAGACAGTAGACTTTCCAAATGACTCACTTGAGGTGAGCTCTCCTTTGAGAACCGCTCTGTTGGTTTTATGGACATAAAAAAAACAACTTCTAGGACTGTCTCAAAGCGTTACTTAAATCTATGGACATGGACCTTGATTCGTGGGAGACGCTCTCAAGGACCTAGCAAGCTGGCGTAGCAGACTAAATTTCGAGGCACAAAAGTTTGCGTTGCAGACTCGCTGTTGGAACACACACGCTGGCGTGGCGGACTCACTGTTGGAACACACACGCTGGCGTGGCGGACTCACTGTTGGAACACACACGCTGGCGTGGCGGACTCCCTGTTGGAACACACACGCTGGCGTGGCGGACTCACTGTTGGAACACACACGCTGACGTGGCGGACTCACTGTTGGAACTTACACGCTGGCGTGGCGGACTCACTGTTGGAACACACACGCTGGCGTGGCGGACTCACTGTTGGAACACACACGCTGCCGTGGCTGACTCACTAGCTGGCGTGGCGGACTCACTGTTGGAACACACACGCTGGCGTGGCGGACTCACTGTTGGAACGCACACGCTGGCGTGGCGGACTCACTGTTGGAACACACACGCTGGCGTGGCGGACTCACTGTTGGAACACACACGCTGGCGTGGCGGACTCACTGTTGGAACACACGCGCTGGCGTGGCGGACTCACTGTTGGAACACACACGCTGGCGTCGCGGACTCACTGTTGGAACACACACGCTGACGTGGCAGACTCAACAGGAGTTCCAACCTTAGACGTCTTGTGGGCACCATAATATAATGCTGCTTATTAAAACTTAAACATGTTTTCGCCAGTAGTGGGGCCCAGACCCTGGGATCACCCACCAGCCAGATATGCCCTTGACCTCATTTTTCGGTGTATCAAGTTTACTCTTATTACCTCGCTGGTTTTATCTATCAAGTTTAAACTTGCATAAATATTTCTTTATCTCAAGTTTACACGGACTTCATTGGTTCTTTGTTTCTACGTTTACACCTACGTCATTATAATTTATGTATCAAGTGTACACTTGTTGTTTTGGTTTTTTTTGGTTCTTTGTATCAGATGTACACTGCAGACTTATCTCATTCATGTTCATGTATCAAGAGTACCCATAACTCATTTTATTGGTAAATGACCATCTAAACACCTCATGTTGAAGCTGTTGGAATCATGGTGTCACGAGATCCCTTGTGCTCAGTGATAATTTGTCTAATTTCTAAAATACCTCTGACACCACCTTGTTTTAATATGCCCAAGGAAACGCAGCAATAATATAATAAAGAGAATGAATCCTCTATATAACTCAAACAATAACAACAGCCAATTTATTGGTTAAATAGAACATACAATATAATGTTAAATACGACAGGAATTCAATAAGAAATACGATATGCAAACCCTTACAACACATGCTGTGAAAAATAGAAGGCTAAATATGACTGCTCAATGAGCATATTCAAAGTTCAAGGAATACACAATACAGTGTAGGGTTACTAGAGACGCCCGTATTTAGTACTGAATGTTTTGTAGTTTCGACCCCATTGTCCGTAATAAATATTGCGCCCGTCTTTGTCCGTGCTCTCCTTTCGTCGTTCGGCTTGTCCGTACTTTTGGCAGCATTGACTTGCCTTGCTTCCATTTGCCTTATGTTATTTCTGTGCAAGGGCCAGTGCAATGAAAAGATTCAGCGCCATTGTACGCAACAAGGCTGGTTAACATAAGCATCACTTCTTCACCTGAACGAAATCGCTTGAGTCTATCTGCACAAGTAAATGAAATCTTCCAAGGAAAAATTGTTTGATAGCGATCTCTTTGCTAAGCCAACTCTTGTGAAACGTTTTTTCTCACACCCTGCTAAGCTGGAAGAATGGGACTCGCAAAACTCACACATTTTTTTATCTAAAGATATGTTTTGCGAGTCCCATTCTTCCAGCTATTTCAACATTTCAACGCGAATGATATACTTTCAAAGTACAACTGCAACTACTGCTTGAGTTTTCATTCAGCCTTTCTGGCACAACAAACCCCTGTGGTGCGAGCTTTCTCCTCGGGTAAACAATGCTTGAACGCCTGAGAAATCCCAGCGGCAAGTAACAACCCTGAGAGCTATTTTGATTGTTCCGTGTAACATTGATCTTACATGTCCTCACTTTATGATATGCGCCATGTGAATGGAAATTTGTTAAAAGCCATTCATGGGTCTTCAAAATATTCACAATAGTTTGTAACAAAATGATGTCGAAAAAGATATTAAGACATGTGCAACGCCCCCCCCCCCCCACCGTTTTATTTCCCCGGCTTCTAAAATTTGTTAAAAACCATTCATGGGTCTTCAAAATATTCACAATAGTTTGTAACAAAATGATGTCGAAAAAGATATTAAGACATGTGCAACGCCCCCCCCCCCCACCGTTTTATTTCCCCGGCTTCTATACCTCCGATTGCTCTGTGCCTTTGTGTCCGTGCGTGGCATCCAGAAAATCTGGTAAGCTTAATAGGTACAGGCAATTCTAACTTATGCTTCAAGCAAGACACCTCTTTATAGCGGAGTCTTGGGTGGCTGTCGCTTCTCTTCTATGTGACGGTCTGCTCTTCTGTCAAGGACCGTCACTGGCTCTGTCTCACGTCTCGTCGTCGCTCTGTGTCGGCTTCCGTTCACCGTCAACACGACCACGCGCCTGCAACGATTTATCTAACTAGTATAGAATACAGGGTAACTATTCTTTAAAAAATATAAGGAAATTACCTAGGCTTTATGATATACGCAGAGCCCTATTATACCTAACCACTTGCCGCAGTCTTGAAGAATAACTAAATAACAACTTAAAACATCAATCAGTCACACGAAATACCATAAAGCTTGAGCATTCAGACACCGTACATACACTTACCTCTCTATGTGGATACTGTGGAAAAAAACTGGTAACAGCTACATCCCAGTCTAAATCTAAATACGCACGAGTCTCGTGTGTGGACTGCAGTTGGTGATCAGTAAGGTAACTGAATTTTATGTCACTTAAATACGCACTTATTCCTACCCGAACTTCTACCCATGATACCTTTCAGTCACAATCGTCTCCATAGACTGTAACTAAAATTCAGACTCCACGCTACGATAAACTAACGCATCACGTCTACTCTGACGCACGTCAAAGACAGACAACACGTCAACACTCTCATTCATGCACTTACCCTCCTTGTGTGACAACAGCCCCAGGGAAACACCATTCATGGCTGTTCTACTCTCCCACCATACGTACCCGTGTTGAGAGAATATTGACCATCACATGTAGATAACGGTCATGTTGTGACGCACAGAAGGACATGAAGCGTCCCCAAACAGACTAAACAAGCATAGCCCTCTAATCTCATGATGGACTTACAATTATAAGAGACAAAAAAAAAGAAGAAAAAAAACAACAAACAATTCATGGTCTCCCTTTTCAAACTTGTCATTATTTAACTTGTTTCTATGTTGTAGCATTTGAAATACTTACAGATCGGTCATATCATTCTGTCTCTACAGGTTTTGTCTGAATAAAAATACAACTCCTCTGAAGATCTGAAAACTTAGAACTATGGTCCGCTGGCATAAACCGATCCTCCTTCTCTTTCTCTCTCCCGTTTTTTTTTTAAACGAATCTCTAGCTAATTATAAATGTTAAAACGCTTTGCAAAACATTTAAATTACGCACTACTTTTATTTAATCTGTATATTATGTCGCTTCCATATCCTTGTAATTAACACTGTTAGATGTTATGTGGTGAGGAAATATTAGCATAACAAGACAAGTAACGCCAGATGAAAACCCCCACGAATCGAAAGCTAAATAATTAACCTGTTTCTCCGATGAGCCCCAAATGTGTATGGGGCGGGGGGGGGGGTTGCGAAGTTTTTGATAGCAATAGGAGACTCTCTAGGATAGGGTTGTTTTTTTTTAATTCTCGATTACTCTAGTCGAGAATCTTCGACAATTTTCTGGCAATGCTCGTCGATGGTACTCGAATGTTTTCTAGCTACATTTGTCGATGGTACTTTGAAAAACTGTCTATCAACGAGTACCCAGGCACAGCGATTTTGGAACACAAACACTTTATAAATGACTAGCGTTATTCTTTATTAAAATCTGTCTATGAATGAGTACCCAGGCGCACCGAATCTTGGAACACAAAAACTTTATAAATGAATAGCGTTATTATTTATTAAAATCTGTCTATCAACGAGTACCCAGGCGCACCGAAATTTGGAACACACAAACACTTTATGAATGACTTAGGGTTATTCCTTATGACGCGTATCTGTCACAAGGATTCACCTGGTCACAGTATCTCCTTAAAATTACACAGTCTATTAAAAATCGCAGGAGAAATTCCTCACCAACTTTTCATGACCGTCTCCTTAATCAGCGCTGTCTCACCGCCATTCTCTCGATCTCATGACACAACTGACAACCCACCCCCCAAACCAGCATTTATACTAAACAACAGTGATTCTCATAGCTTTGAAAATAGTTTTGCATTATCGCGGGCAGCTCCTGATATATGTTTTCCCCCCACAAAAAAATGTGTTCGCCTACACAAGCGCCCCTAGTCTAACATCTAAAGAAAAACAGCAGGCCGTAGAGACAAAGTTGATTAGGTCTTTCCCAACATACACCTTTTTTCTCCAACATACACCTTCTTCCCAATCTTTGCCCTTCTTCCCCATCATACCCCTTCTTCCTCAACATACCCTTTCTTCCCCATCATTGCCCTTCTTCTCCATCATGCCCCTTCTTCCCCAACATACCCCTTCTTCCCCAACATACCCTTTCTTCCCCAACATACCCCTTCCTCCCCGTCTTTGCCCTTCTTCCCCAACATACCCCTTCTTCCCCAACATACTCTTTCTTCTCCATCATTTATCTTCTTCCCCATCATGCCCCTTCTTCCCTATCACAAGTAGCGCCCCTTAACTAGTGGGATCGTAAAGCAACACGCTGGAGGTTCTCCACCGCTGAGGCAACACCTCCCGACCTTCCACTCGATCGTCCGTGCAGACGGGGCGGCATCAATGAAGAAACACCCGATCGGCTGGTGGCGCTGCTCTCCGGGACGACTATATTTAAGTGTCTTTAAAAACACCCCTTCCCTTCCCGTGGCTGGTGTCAGATGCCCCTCAATATGGATCTCTACACGTGGGTTCTACTTTTGTGGTTAAGTCACATTGTACCTGGGACGAAACGGTCGCCTAAGGAACAGTCCCCTCAAAGGCTGCAAATTAGAATCATCGGCAGCTGCTGCCAAATCCGTCTATATTTCATGTCCCTTAATGGCACCATGTAATCAAATACCGACCTGTTTCTGGCGTTATTCCCAACCGCACTCCGTAGTTACCATGCAGCTGCTCTCTTTCTAACGCAGACACCATGCAAAACCTTTGTCTCTCGCGCGCAACGTCCCCTACATGGAAGTTTTCAGCATCAGAAAAAACAATACATCCTTGAACCAATGTAAAACAGAGGCGTAGCGAGGCCAGGGCAGGGGGGACAGATGTACCCGGGCGCTAGCTAGTTAGGGGTGCCAAAATATGCTCTGATATTATTTTACTGATGAAAATAATGGGTTTGAGAGTTGAAAAAAAAGAAAAAGGGGCGCTATAAAATAGATATTGTCCCCGGGCGCGAAACTTGTCCCCGGGCGCCAAACACCCTCGCTACGGCTCTGATGTAAAAATCTCTTTTCATTTGCGTTGTTTATTGCACCCAAATAGGAGACTTGCGCTGCTCTTTGCCATCAACCATCATTCCATCGTCAAGGATAGGGCAGACTAGGGGCATCTACACGTAAGGGAGGGGGCGCCGGGTGAGCAGCAGATTTGAACTTCTCCGGATAACAAAGTTGCAATGGGAATAAGGGAAAAAAAAAGTAAAAAGCTAATTTGAAAACTAGTGGGAACCAGTTCGTGATGGACTTTAAAACAAGCATTTACTGAGCACTTTTTTTTTATGTCACGATCAATATGCCAACGCTTTTAAAAAAATTAATTCATTTTTTTTAGCCTTTTCTGGTGCTTATTTATAATTTGATTTGTTTAAAAAATGTAGAATTTTCTTAAATGATTTTTTTTTTCAAAATTCATTTTGGAAAATAAAAAAAAAACTTGGAATGCTCTTGCAATTGAAAAAAGAAAACTCCATGTTGGTGAATAAAACAATTGATAATATTGTAATATTAGAAAAATAAGGCCAAATCCATGTCAGCGTTTTCTCGAATAAAATAAATTAAGTTGATCAATCACCGAGTGGAACCCATTTCGCTGGATAATAATCTTGTAAATTCACACCCCTAAAGAGCCATGTTCCTTTAACCAAATACTTCTGGTAATAAATGGTTATTCCATCCGCCAACCAGGCCGCCCACCAGCCGTAGGTTCCACCCGACATTATCACGTGATCACAGTTGGCTAGAACACCAAAGTGCCACATGGATGAGCCGGGCGCCAAGATTTGCACGTCTGGAGAATTCAAATTTGCATGACACCACGTTAGGTCATCACTTGCCACAATAAATGTGACGTTCGCGCCGTTCAGCATGGACCTCATTCTTGCAAACGCCTTCACGAAATACGACGCATTGGCAACGCCGTATCCCTTTTTAACGTTTTCACTGGACAGGAAGTCACCGCGCCTGACGTGGACGCCGACGATGATGTTACCTTCGAACTGGTTTCTGAATTTTCCCAGCGTGCCACTGATCTGTTTGCGCAAGTGCGGTAAAAAGGTTAGCTCGCGCCTTATTTCGTCCTCGATGTTCGTAAAATATCGCCAGACCTGCATACATCCAACTAATGTGATGTTTTCTTTAGAGACGTTCATCAGTCTGGTCTCAAACGCCGCGAACATCTTCTCGCGCACTGTGATGAATCTAAAATGGAAAAAAAAGAAAGAAAAAAAAAATAACAACGTAGATTAACGGCTTTTATTCCCGGATATTTTTTTTTTTTTAAAATTAACACATCACTCATTATTCCAAGAAAGACTGCCTTTTAATCACTTTTATTTGCTATAATAAAAGTCTCAAATCACTAGTAATTAATGCATGAAACTTTTGCATTAAATTATTGAATTAAGTTATTGCATATTGTCCCAAAATTTACTTAAATCATTTGCAATTTGTAACGATTGAAAACAAAATAATTTTTGAAAGAAAATTTTGTAACATTTCAAATGACCAAACCACTTCCGTCACTTGAAGTACAAACTGACTTTATAATCTTGTCATTAAACACATTTTACAGTTTCAACGACAAAATGTTCCCATCTAGGGTTGTGTAACTTTTGCCCGTACTGTGGGGAATAAGTAACCGAACTTAAACATTGTCATTCTTTGCCTTTTATAATTACAAAAGATACGGACAATTCCACCCACACTTAAAAATAAAAAAAATTAAAATTTAAAGAATTATGTTGCAGGCAAACAATAAATGGACGTAAATTTAACAAGTCCGATTTTTAACGATACACTGGCCCAATGTTCTGCGAGGCTGGACAACGTGACCATGTGTGCTACGGAAACTGCGGTCGCTGTTTGATGTTAAGCGAGCACCCGGTACCCACCCGTTTGTACTGATGTTGTTGTTGACGTGAGTGATCTCGAAAACTCTCTCGAGAATGGTTCCCCTCCGTATAAAAGCTGTCCTGTTGTGCGCCTTGGCTATGCCCAACAGGGACGCGTACACAAACAGCTGGTTTCCTTGACCACCGAAAAAGGTCGCGGTCATGTACAGGGGCCCGGTCTTGACCTGGGCTACTGTTGTCGACGGGGTCATTGTGGTCCACTGTGAGCTAGGATCTGGCGCCACAGACGAGATATGGGAAACGTTCGATTGTGAAATATTTTCAGCATTTCCAATCGAGGAAGATTGGTACCCTGTCATTTCCTCGACATGGCTGAAGTCTAAGAAATTTTTACTGAACGATCTGAAAGGAATAGAAGAGAGCACGTGATGTAGATTTTAAATGAATTTTCCAAACTTGGGTGATTAGCACCATAGGGAAAACCTCGGATAAAAGGTTAGATGTTGTGTTTTAAAGTTGCTCTTAGAATTTGGGATGCTTTAAAAAAAAAAAAAAAAAAAAAAAAAAAAAACCTTTATATTACATTGGCTTTGTTTGTGGGTGCCTGGGAAATTATAATAATAAAGAGTATTTAAAAATCACGCTTCATCCCCAAAGGTTCGAGGCGCGGTACACATCACATTGAAGTGCAAAATTCAAAACTACAAAACTACATACAAGAATACCCATTTCTAAGTCTTTCATACCTTGCAAATATAAAAAAAAAAAAACACAGGCCAATAGACATCTAAAAGATAATAGCCAGATATACAACATCACCCCAGCTGGTGTTTGCGAAATAGATAAGTCTTCAAATCAGAATTGAAAGACTCCAGTGTCTGGCTGTTTCTGAGAGCGATAGGAAGAGTGTTCCAAATTGTTGGGCCAAAGCCCTACATGGGCTGCATTGCCACAGGAATGGATGAATGGATATTGCCTTCTAGGTTTCTGAATGTGTCCATCAGATATTGGGAGCACACTTTGTGCCCCCCCCCAAAGAGTCTTAAAAAGGTAATTATTTTTGTCAAAAAGTTTTTCCTTTTAAAACCGATTGGGGAAATTTTGCTAAAATATGAAGTTTCCACCAAAGAATAATGCTAAAATAATGAAGATGTCAAATTACCATTCCCCCCCCCCCCCCCCACAAATAAACAGTATACAACTAACTCTAAAAGACGAGCTTAATAAATAAAGGACCGCTAAAATAATATTTTATGACATATGAAAACTTACAGATGATTGTAGTACAGGTAGAATGCCATCAAGACTGCAAACGTTACAAAGACGATCAGTGACCTCGAACGCACACCTGTGGCTGGAGGAAGGCTTGAAAACAAACCAAAAAAAAAAATGAATGGCGTTAAAAGAAATCTCGAAGACTTCGTCAATGAATTTTTAAAGACTTTCTTTCTACTCGCAACCCACGGGGGCTTCTCGGTTTGATGCACACATTGTTTTATTGTTGTTGTTTTTTTTGTTGTTGTTTTTTTTTTTGCGTTATCACACGTGACCCTCTCTTTCCGTCGTTTCGATCTGCCTCGTTCTGACCTGTAATGGCGCATCTGATTTGATGGCAAAGAGTTACATCTCCGGTATTTGCTGGTTCGGGTGGGGGTGAGTGATTTTGGGGGGACGGGGGGGGGGAGGCGGTAATAACAAACCAAGCCTGTTCGTTTGCAAAAACCATCTTTCATAAGTGTGGGATTTTTTGGATGGGATGAAGGAATGTGTTTTTTGGAGGTAGGTGCAATTTCAGCAATTAGACTCTGATGGACGAAGGCAACTGGCCGTAACAGGTTACCTCTCGGTTTTATGCCTGGCTAAAGAGCGTAGTTACGATGGACTACGTTCAAAGCTTGGTAAAGCAGAGTAGCTTGCCCTTGGTTGACGCCTACTTTTTACCATGTTGGATTGTTTTTAAAAATCGTGTTTCTTTTTTTGTTTTTTTCTAAATTCCATTCCAGTAAGTTAAGTAGGGTTAAACTAAACGGGCGCAAGAATATACTTGTTCAAATACAATGTATACGTGCACTCTCAATAATGTTTTTCCTCTCAATTTCACGGTGACGTCATCAAATCTATATTTACTCAGCCAAACCATGACAACAACAAAACAAAACATAAAAATGATCGGAAAGCGGAAATGATGTTCACCAACCTAACATACTCTTTTCTCCCCGGAAAAAAATCACCATTTTTTTGTTCATTTGTGAATGTACCCAATACCTGGGATTTTCTAACCATTCCATGTTAATAAAAAAAAAAAAAAAAAAAAGAAAAGAAAATCTTCTATTGTCGATAAATTGCAAATTACAATTTTCTTAACATAATTGTAGGAAAAAAAATTGTCAAATTAATTTTTTTAAACTTTTCGAANAAAAAAAAAAAAAAAAAAAAAAAAAAAAAAAAAAAAAAAAAAAAAAAAAACAAAAAATAAATTTATTTAAAAAAAAAAAAAAAAAAAAAAAAAAAAAAAAAAAAAAATTCATTTCCACAAAGAAAGTTTGTGCCGACATTAAAACAAAAAATCTCTAAAAAAAGGTGTATTTAAGTCTGTTCTACTTTGAATTGGAATCCTCTGGCTTCACGGAGTGGCCTCCTCGCATAATTTCTTTGTTTAAGAAAATAAAATTAACTTGGATTAAACCGCCTTAAGTTAGGGCGTGCATGCATACGTCACACTCTGTTTAGTTATGGCTTTACCCGAAAACCTACTAACTTTACCCACCCCCGCCCCCCCACCCCCCCAGGTCCCAAATTTATTTTTCGTCATCGAGAAGATTATATTAAATTTTCACTTTGCATTTTTGCTTCGAGACTCAACTTTCTTTAAGACTTAACGTACTATTCGCGTTGAAAAAAAAAAAGAAAAGATTAATAATAATTATAGGCTGGTTCATTTATAAACAAATGAATTAACTTAAGCCCAAAACCTTCAAAACTGCTAAACCCGCAATCCCTTCGTTGAGAATCACTGTGCCAATGGGTAAGTGAGTTAAGGGCTTTTCGCTTTCATGAACCACGGCGTCAGTAACAAACTGTTGAACCCGCGGTCATGGTTTCTTTCAGCTATGTCTCTATGGGGGGCACCCCCCCCACCCCCGGGGAAGCCAAGTTCCCCCCCGGATCAAAAAATATCTCCAACAATTAATCAACTGGCACTGCCCCCCCCTTCCCCGAAAAATCTAAAGTGCCCCCCACAAGGGGGGGATTTCTGAAATAATCACTGCCCCCCCCCCGGTCTGTGTGTTTCCAAATGACTAGAGTTATAGGAGCCAGAATGATCAATACATTCATCGCGGGCCCATACAATACAGAAGAAATTAAGAAGAATTTATTTCAGTCTGTTTATGGTAAGTAAAAATAGTCCACATCAGAACCAAGCAATCCGTTTAGCCTATTGAAATCTGTGTGAAAACAACTTTTTTATTGTTAAAGTTCTTTATTTAAGAACAAACGTTTGGGGATTTATATATATAACTCAATCTAACTGATAAAACAAAAATAAGTGTCTATCAGGCATGCGTGCTAAGCACGCCCCTATGTGGTAGCGAAGTGTGGGCCACATATACAAGACAGGAGCGGAAACTCAACAGCTTCCATCAAAGATGTCTGCGTCGCATTTTGCGCATTCGTTGGCAGGACAGGGTGCCTAACGTGGAGGACAGGGCGCCTAACGTGGAGGTCTTGGAACGTGCACACATGTTTAGCATATTCTCCTTTCTTATCAAGAGACGCCTTCGCTGGTTAGGTCATGTACGGAGAATGGGGGAAGGACGTATCCCAAAGATACTGCTGTATGGAGGGTTGGCAGAGGGGACAAGACATATTGGACGACCGCGCCTGAGATTTATTGCCGTTTGAAAACGAAGCATGAGGGAAGCCAATATTGAAACAAAATGAATGGGAGTTCATTGCCGAACATCGGTCCCACTGGCGTACAGCAGTGTTCGGAGGAGTGAAAAAGGCAGAAGTTACTCGAAACGACCTCGAATCAAAAAGAACAATTCGAAAATCAACAATTTACCGGGTTTCAATATTCTCCTGCGAGAGATGCGGCCGTGATTGCCATTCAAGGATTGGCATAGTGAGCCACTCGTCAAAGTGTAGAACTATATAGCTACCCCATCGTCTCACGAAGACGGAAGGATGCCATAATATATATATATGATGTGCGTGTGTGTATATATTATTATTTTGTAACGAAATTTTGAAATTGAGCGAGAAGTTTTAATTTTGATTTCTAACAATCGCTTGGGGAGAAACATTCCTTTAAAAAGAATTCAGTGGGGACTAACTTTTCAGAAAACGTGTAAATTACAGCAATTATTTTGTTGAATGAGCGTGTTTTTTTGTTGTTTTTTTTAAATAACCTCCAATAAGAACTTACTTACTTACCCGAAAATCTTCATGATGAAATTTTTGGAGTTTCTCTACGAAATAAAAAAAAATTAAATTTAACAATAATAAGAAGGATAATTTTTTGTTTGAAAGCCCCGCATCTCGATCAGCAAACATTGGAGTTCATTGAATGGCTTTGTGTGACTTCTTAGTTATTAAAACGAGGCACCTGCCTTAGTTGTTTGTTTTTTTGTGTGTTTTTTTTTAAATCAATTTTTTTTTGAGGGGGAGGGGGATAAAAATCAATATTCTAAAAAAAATGTTAAAAATACAAAAATAAACAACTAAGGTGTATAAAAAATATGTCTGCACTTAAAAAAAATAAAATAAATAAAACTGTACTGTAAAACTGAATGCTTGCTTCGATAAGTTGAATGCTAATATGTGCAATTTGAAAATTATTTTCGTTGCGTCTTTATATTTAGTGAAGATAAGATTTGATTAGTTTGAATCTAGTAAATTAATTTGTAAAAATTGCAGAGCGTTCGTAAGGTTTCCCCCCGTACGCTTTTTCAATAATCACGATAGACTGTTTATCTTGCTTGAACTAAGATGAAAACATGAAATTATGTTCCCCCCCCCACCCCCACCCCCCAAAGTGTCTGACATGCGCATTGCTGCTTTAAACTGCAAAGAACTTTTCGGGACACACACAAAAACAAAGAGTGTAAAAATAGATTAGGAGGCAATGTCTTCAACTGCTTCAAATATAGTTTGCTTTTTAAATATTTCGACATATCAACCATTACACATTAGCCATTAAGAG